TAGGAGAGAGTTTTTACAATAGAGAAGGCTCAGATCACATAAATTGATCGATGACTGTCTTTTGAAATTCTACATCTATTTATACATGAATTTAAATGCTCATTTCATTGTCATTTCATTTGAATCTTATCTTCTTATTTTCGTAATCTTGAAATCTTTATCTGATTGGATGGAGCTACCTGTAGCTTTTGAAATGTTGCCAACAATCCTTTTTGCTTTTAGTAATCATACGGATCTTATGCGCATGGCCCACCAAAAGGGTCAGATGTTTGAGTGGGTGATGACGAAGATTCCTCTGTCGTAGTAGATCCAGCTGTTGTGGGTCCTTGATTTGAAATTCCTTTGTCTTCTTTCGTTTGTTCCTTCAAATAATTCAGATATTCTTGAAGTATATCCGGATTTGTCATCATTTTTGAAAGAAGAAAATCTTGAGCCAGATTTGCTGCTTCTGTCTCTTTTCCTTTTGAAGAGGTGTTTGGCCTTTGAATACTTGAAGAGGCAGCGGCCTTTTGAAGTGGACTTTTTTCTTTTGTTTGAACTGTCACTAATTGCTGCATGGTCCATTTGAGTTTTTCGCCTGTTTGAAGAAATTTGAGTACTGTCTCTTGGGAGCATATTTCTTGTTTGAATTCATCCCACCATTTAACTTTGAATTCTCGAACCAAAGACATTGGTAATGGTGCTTCTAAATCTTTCATAATTTTGAAACTCCAGCAAAATATCCAAGGTACTTTGAATTCTGTGTGAAATAATATTGAATGAGTATATTCATCTCCTTGAATCTTTTTATAATAAGTCTGAAATCCCATTAACACTTTTGAAGGATATATCTCCTGTTGAGGTCCATAATATCTCCACCAATGATAGAACCAAATTGGAAAATCCTTTGGGCAATGTTCATAGAATATAAAAAACCATGAATGATCAAATGATCTGTATAGAAAAGCTCTATACCAGGCCTGTTTGTAATCCTGATATGTGAATCCTTCTGGAATCCTTTGTACTGAAAAATTCTTTTTTGAATAAATAGAGGCCCATTCTCCTGGGGAGCAAACCTTTTTAATTATACATTTGCAATGGGCTATTTCCTTTGGATTTGAAGGATTGGGTTTTGCAATAATGTCAACTGATCCAGTATCAACTAGAATCAGTTCATAATAAGATTGATTTTTGAGGGAGTCATCAGGACACTAATAGCATCCTTCTGGGAAAATCCTCTGAGTAAGTGTTTTAAGTGTGGCATAGGTAGGTACTTCTTTGAATTTGGTTAGAGTAATATGTTGAATCAAGGGTTTTATAATGTAAGGAGATTTTTCTTTTGCAATTGGGGTTTGTGGTGTTTTTGAAGAGTTGGATGAATTTTGTGTTGCTTGAACATAAGATAAAGCTGGGAAATCTTGAAATAAACTATATCTATTTGAAGTAGGGATCTTACTTTGAGAAATTTCATAATCCTTTGGAGTGCGAGCCATATCTGCAAAATTAAAGTCAAGAAATAATTTTGTTGAGTTTCTCTCGAAGCTGTTGAATTTGTTGATCATAATATTGAATCTCTTCCTGAGGATGACCGACTTTTTTGAGGACATCTTTGAAAATAATATTGGAATTAATTTGTCTTTTGAGAAGAAAGGCTTTTTCTTTAGGAGTCTGAACAGACCAAAAACTAGGTCTAATATAAACTGGGGAATGATTTTGAATTTGATGATGAGGAATAGGCTGAATTTCTTCTTGTGGATTTTTAATATAATAAGTATGATATCTATTGGAAATATTTTTATCTTTTCTTTGAAGAATAGGGTCGTCCCTTTCTCTTCGTAATCTTCGAATGTATTGTTTGTGTGACTCACGATCCATTCCTTTAAAGAAATTCGCGAGTCAGAAAATCTGGTAATGAATTATTTTCACCTTTAATATATTCTATTTCAAAATCAAAAACAGATAAAATAGCTTGCCATCTAGCAAATATTTGTTTTGAAACAAGATTTTTAACATCTTTTTGTAAAACTTCTTTTGCTGATTTGCAATCAACTCTTAATAAAAAAGTTTTAATTATCAAATCATCTTGAAATTTAGAAATACATAAAACAATAGTAGAGTATTTTTGCTGTGTGATATTCCATGCTCCTGAATGGAATCGTACTAATTGTTCCTGGGAATTTTCTGCTTTTTGTTTGAATATGCCACCATATCCCTTTTCGGAGGCATCTGTTTCTACTATCATTTTAGCATTAGGGTTTGGAATACCTAAACAGGGTAAATCTATAATCTGAGCTTTTAAATATCTTATTTTTTGAGTATGTTCTTCTGTCCAGGGAGAGGGGTCCTTTCTTAATTTCTGAAATAATATTCTACATTCTGTTCTAAGATGTGGAAAGAAATCTGCTACATAATTTAAATATCCTAAAAATCTTTGTAATTGATTTTTATCTTTAATTTCATCTGGAAATTTACTTGTAAATTCTAGAGCTCTTGTAATGGGTTTAATAGTTCCTTTGGTTATATTATGTCCTAAAAATCTTATTTCTGTTTGAAATAATTTCATTTTTGGTGCTGATAATACTAATCCATTTTTCTTTACTATATTTAAGGGGGTTATATGGTAAAATATTAAACCATAAGGGGGTTATATGGTAAAATATAAAAATCATACGGGGTTAATGTGTCATGTATTTATAAGGGTAATTTCGACATTTTTAGAAGTTCCGTTACGAATGACTATTTCCGTCACTTTGATACTTTAATCCAAATCATGAGGGGGTTATGTAAAAAAAACTAAATCACAATGGGATAAAATGTAATTTGCCCTAAAATTTAAATCCCGGATTTACAACCCAAAGAGGGATTTGGTTCTTTTTTTATGGCCTTCGAGCCAAAGCTCAGTGGTTAACATGCTTTAGTGTATATGTCGAAAGTCTTTCTGTGTGCTGGTATGGTGCCTGCATGTGGCAGACCGAACAAGAATCAATGGAATTGCCATGTAATATGCCAAAAAAGAAGAAGAAGAAGAAGAAGAAGAAGAAGAAGAAGAAGAAAGGATGGATTTAACTTACATATCCATTCGTCTGTTGCTGTAGTCTTCTTGAGGGTTTACAACTTCCTTCGTCTCTGCCATCACTGTCGCCTTTGCTTTGCCACATACTCTATGGCACGGCAGCCTTTTCATGGAGATTTTTGCACCTTTGTACCACTCCATTTCTAGATTTACTTAATACAAATGACTCCCCAACCCAATTTCTCCTACTACGTAGCTAATTGATGATGACTGTGATATGAGATTAGCATCAATTTCTTTAAAAAAATCATGTTTGAAATATGCATTACAATTACAGTATACTGTGAAAAGGTGAGGCATAACAATTTGGCTTGGTTCGTTTCAATGAAATAAACATTTTTTTTGGATTTACAAGATATTTCTTTTTGTATTTCTCTTTCAAAGCCCCTGCATTTTCTAAAGTCCAATAGTGAAAGAATGGAAAAACTATATAGAACTCCAGTCCAAAGATCAAATTTCCTCCTCCCACTTCCCCACCCCAAAACCTCCACTCCCCCTCACCCCGCGCCCCAAAATTGTGGTCCATATAATATAGTCGCCCTAGAGTTTTCCCTTTAATTGTCAATGGTAATTGTATCATTTAAAATATTAACAAGGAAGTTATTGGCCACCACCAAAGACTTTAAGTCTTGATAGGGTGGAAAGTCAAGGGTTCAAACCTTACCTTTCATCAATGTGCCTTTGGGCTGGTGGCCACCACCAACCTCTTAAGGTTTGGTGGGGTGGGAGGTCAAGGTTTAAAACCTTGCCTCCCACCAATTGCCTCATAATGGCTTTTCTAAAAAAAAATCCACCCGTTTGATTCGATGGTGGTTCAGTCCCCACCTGCCCCCAATATGTCCAGTTAGGCCTCCCCTTAGATAGATTATGATAGAGTAAGATATAAATAAAATTGAGCCGAATGACAAAAAAAAAAAGAAGAAGAAATCAATGTGCCATTATATGTGACTGCTTCTAAAACCATAGAGGTGCATAGTGCACCCGTCAAATCCAATGATGGTTCAGTTTCCGTAAGTTTCTCTAGATCCCGTTGGACCTTCCCTCCTTCCCCTAGTGTAGACTAGAGTAGGAGTAGACTAGGTTAGATATTACTGTCTGATTGGGAAAAAAAAAAACACTTCATATCTGCATTGAAAGTTGTGTTTTGCACTTTATTGTATTAGTATTTTCAATTACTGTTTTAGTGTCTACTTTTGCTATGCTATAGGCTAGAGCATGCACTGTATGGTACAATTGCAACTAATAATTATAGAGGTCCTAGAAATAAATGTTTAGATAAAGAACAGAAAACTGGGCAGAGTAAATAAAACGCCAATCCATGTCCACAAAGAGTATCAACTTCATCGACCTATAAGTGCACCCATCCGTAGGCTTAACTGCTTTTACACGTTTAAATTTACAGCACTAAAACAAACAGTTTCAGAAAAACACACCAGTAGAGCCCAAGAGTGAGCTCCAAAAGGCTTACCAAGTTAATTAACAATAAAATTCATATAAGACCTGATCCATACAGAATGCTCAACAGTGTATAAGAGCTTCATTACAATTTCTATTGTTTTAGCCTTGACTAAGGCCACTACATAACTACATCCCTGTGCACATTTGGTTGATTGCTAACCAACCTTTTATTGACCAGTATAACCAGCCGGAAACCAATAAGCAGCAGATGTTAGCATGCTTTTATAACCACATGATCCCTCTTCCTCTGAACTCTTAAAACTGCAACAAGTTACTGTAAGGAGGGGGATTTCGCTATTATGCAGCAGCAGTTTGAACAATTTGTTTCGCTTCAAGCATTTTCTCGTACTCTTCGATAGATTTGAAAAGTTCTGAAAAATTTCCTTTTCCAAAGCCTCCACATCCTCCTTTCTGATAAATTTTCCCCTCATCATCCTTCATCATGCACCCTATTCTCTGAATTATCTCTATGAATATCGTAGGTCTGCAAACAGAACAACCACAATAAAAAGTTTCTCAAGTAAGAATACAAGATTTACAATTTACCTCCCTAATATACTTGCAAGATTGTTGAAACTCTGCTCCCCTGGATCAGCATATAATGATTACAACATACAGTAGTTTATGTCATAACTAATATGGTGGGCTTTCAGAAATCTAGGAATTATTATTAATATATTTTGAAAGCTATAGAAGCTACAAGATAGCCTCCACTGACACGAATAAGAAACAGTTATCACTTCCTTTCAAGAGAAAAGGCAAAAAAAGTTAAGATACTTGTCTTCTTCCTCTATGGTAGCCAAGCGTTTCAATGGACAATGGAACTGCTGAAAGCCAGGAAAAGCAACTCAGGAAAATGAACAATACAGCAGGTGTGAAGCAGCAATGAGATGTTCTGCTTGTTTTATACAAAAGCAACTTAATTGTTTTTTGTATAAACATTGAAATGTTCTCATATACGAACTCACAATAGCCAACATGCATAGACTAACATATCCATGAAGACACGAGTACATGCATATAACCAATGTATTCATATGAATCACCAAGTATGAAGCATATGATGTATTCATATGAATCATCAAGTATGAAGCATATGAGGAAGCTAGGTACCGGCAGTGTAAGCAATGAAGACATCCAACACATGCTTCAGTATTAGCATAAATTATGTTAAGAGATTAATACATTGATTCACTAACAAAATGTTGACTATCAGTTCTAATGCTATATGGTACAATCCAACAAGAAATGAAACTAATGTCCCTTTCTTATTTCTCATAATGGATCAAGATAAGACTGCAGATAAATTAACCATACAAACAAACTTGTACTGATCTAAGTAGCAAAATATTGTAATGAACCATTTGGCATGCATGTTTGCTTCCTGTCACAAACAACTTCACCGAGACCTTCGCTATTAACACTGGCAAGTACGGTTAATGCACCTTAGGTATTTAGCAGATACTGGAGTTCTCTATTAACACTGGGGAGTACTACTAATGCAATTTTAGGCATTCAGCAGATAGTATGAGTACTAGTCATGTGTTTTTGGCACTCAGCAGGTACTGCATTAAGAACCAAACACAAGCATGAACTACACTAATATATACAAAAAAATGAAAATACTACCAATAAAATGAAAAGGGCAGCAGTGAATTGCATAGGTCCATCCAATTCAAAAGCAAAACAGGCCAAGTGAAGGAACACTGTAGCCAAACATTCCACTCAAAGATGATCAATAGTCAAGAAACAAAAAACTACCAAACATCTTGAAGACGAGAAAGCCTGAAAAAATTTTCGGGCAAAAATTTCCACATTTTGAATAGAAAATTTTGAACTTGTAAAGCAATAAATTAGCTTCTCTCAAAGCCAAACTCTTTACAGCCTTTAGATGAACGTTATATCTTGATTTTATCTTAACGCATAATCTTTTGAACCAGCTTCATATGCTGATCTTACCTCATCCCATCACCAGGGATTTAGTCAACATAAAAGTGCAAACTTTGTTATCTCCAAATATCTTCTGCAGCAATCTGTCTTAAAAGCTTTTCATTCATGACTTGGAATACTCTTTTATTTGCTTTTTTAGATAAGAAAAGAATACCTCCAAGATCCCCTTGTTTTCTACAACGAGGAAAAGACTCCGAAATTAATACAACCACTGCACTGTATAGAATAGGGAGCTAAACAATATGTTACACCTCCTTTCAAGCTGATGCTTGAACATTGCATAATGAGGCTACTGGCTTACCTTTGTCTGGATTGGAAGGAAATTTATTTACCAAATGTACCAATTAAGTACAGATTCAGAGTCTAAATGACGTACATGAATCCAAAGTAGGGGAAAAGAAACTAGATAGAACTAGTTGAAGGGCATGTTCAGATTATAGGTGGACTAGATATGATTGACAACATTTGTCCTGGACAGAAACAACAAACTAACTAAGTTCCTCATATCCCGAGGCATAAAATTTATCAAACCTACACTTACCTAATTCAACACAGAATCGGAGTAGAAAAGACTAAAAGGACACAAGACAGTAACAGGCCAGACAAACAACAGACTTTCAGTGGTAGTTAATATGAAGGTATCCTTCCATCATTTTATTCACAAATTGCTGTTATGTTAGAGCAGAAGACACCAGTTCTATAAATCCCAACGGAATTTACACCCTTATTTATATCAGTGTGGACCAACACAAGTAGTACGCAAATCAGTTTTAGAAACTTGCCTTTATCAAGAAGTTAAATCTAGTTTCCACTGCACAATAAATTTGATTAAACAAACAAGCCTACAAAAATGTAATTTTTCCAAAAAAATGTTTACTGTAAAAATCCCAGTATATACCATTTCCACAGTTATCATAAAAAACCAGTCCTTTCACTATAAAAAAATAGAAGTCAATAACTTGCAGAGCTAATATTGATCCATAACAAATCAAAAGAACCAGAACAGGAATTTAGTGATTCTAAGCCAAATGAGTGAATAATTTTTTGCACATACCTGTCTCCAACAGGTTTGGTGAAAATCTGAAGCAGAGTACCCTGATCATCCCTATCCACCAAAATTCCCAACTCCTCACACTCCTTAATCTGTTCATCACTCAACACATCCCCAGCCCTGCTCTTCAAATTTCTATAATAAGTGGGTGGTGGCGAAGGCATAAACTCAAACCCCCCAACCCCACTCCTTTTCCTCATCTCTCTCAATGTCCTAAATATATTCTCGCTGACCAATGCCAAATGCTGCAGCCCTGCCCCCTCATTGTGCTCCAAATAAGTCTGTATCTGACTCTTTCTTTTGGTACCATAAACAGGCTCATTCAAAGGCAGCAACACATTCTCGTCATTATTAGCCAACACCACTGAATTCAACCCACTGTCACTAGTCCCCACATCCTCAGCCGTAAATTCAGCAAATTCATGAAACCCGGTAAACTTCTTCACGTATTCCACCGCAGGCCCGAGTTCCGGCACATTTCCAACCGCATGATCAAGCCTACGAATCCCATAATCCATTTCTAAAAATGAAGTGCTTGAATCCTCAACTAACTCAAACCCAGGTAAGAAAAAGAAATTCCCAGCAACATCTTCAACATTTTTATAGCTAATTAAGCGCAGCACGACGTCCCCATATAAATGAATTTCAGCAAGAAACGTCGAATTATCAAGCAAAACAGGGGAAAAAACAGGTTTAGCCCCGCGAGAAACCGCGACAGAGAAGGCAGTTTCAACATCTGCAACCTCAATAGCAATAGCCCGAACTCCCAGGCCGTGAGTGGCCGTGAAGGAGCAGTGAAGAGCGGATGCAAATGAAGGAATAGAAGCCGAAGCAGAAACAGATAGAGCAGTAGAATAAGGCGCAGTAAACAGAAACTTAAGGTCCCCAGAGCGAAGTAGATAGGAGGCATGCACAGAGTTCCCAGTGGAGAGGTCCGATTTCACAACGATCGGCATGCCGAGACCCCACGAGAAGCGGCGACAGGTGTTGGTGGCGTCGCCGCACCAGAACTCTACGTGGTGGAAGCGCTTCACGGCGAAGAAATCGGATTTGGAATTGGTTCTGATGAAGTTCTTGAAGCCCACAAGCTTGAAACCTGCTGAATTTGTGGTCTCATCAACTGGTTGCCCCGCCGTGTCACTGGCGGCTGTGGGAGCGGCCGTTTTTGTCACCATTTCTCAGGTTAGTTGTGGTGGGAAAGGAAGTAAAGTGCCGTATCCAAAAACTTGAATGAACTGGAATTGCTGGACTCGTGCTTCAGCGGAAATGTCAGTATTCGAAAAGTGAGTGATGGTGTGGGGCAGTGGTGTTTTTATAGGCAACAGGATAGGGTTGCCGTGCACAAGCTGCCGTCCAAACTGTCCATATGCAGCTATTATTATATTTTGGACAGTAAATTATTTGGAATAATTCTTTTAAAAAAATATTATTTATAACACTTTTTTATGTAATATATATAAAATAAAAATGTTATTAAAAAATATGTTAATAATGCAAAAAAATAAAATTTTGTAAATAAACTATAATCCAGACAAAATCATAGACAGAGATTTGGGCTTGTTCTTTGTTTGTTGAATATTTTGCAAAAGAGTAAATATATGGGAAGTGATTGTGAAGAGATTATAAAATGAATGTAAAGAATAATAATTTTGGATTGAGGATAATTTGAAAAATTTTTGTAGTCTGATTTTAGTAGCACTTTTTTTTTTATTTGATGTGTGCGAAATAAAAAGATAATTGAAAAATACACTTTGTGAATAATAAGATTTTTTCCCAATTAATCCTATCAAAACAAACTCAATTTTAGTAGTTATTCTTTCGTAGATTCTGAAATTTAGCTTGTATGACTATGAAAAGGTATTTAAAATATAAATGTGAAACTAAATGAGAACATTGCAAGAATAGATTATCCAAAATCAAAATTTTATAACCAAGTGAAATATAATGAGAATGATGAAGGCTTCTTTTAAAAAAGGAAAATGAGGGGGGTACCTTGTAAAATTTCTATTATTATCACTTACTTGTCGGGTTGCATTTATATTGGCCGAAACTTATTGTTTTGCCAAAAAAAAAAAGTGACATTCAACTCTTATTTTAGTGTAATTCACGGATAAATTCATTGATGTAATAGAAAGTATAAATATTAGTAATGGTTTGGCTAACGGGTTAAGAGGAGGCTTAGGTGTTCGTTTTTTTAGAAATGCATAGTTAATTCGTGTCATAATTTAGAGGGTTACACATGTGAGTGAGTGTGTGTTTATCTGATAATTTAGACGTGATTTTGAGTGTGTTAGCAATTGCCTATTAGATATTCATTAAAAAAATCCGAATACTAATATTATGATTTATGACTGAATAAGCATAACTGGTATGGATTAATTAATGCGGGATAAAAAGTATGGTTCGAGTCAGTATGACCACTTTTTGGTTAGCTTATCTAAACTACTGGGTAGGGTACACACGATGTGTGTGTAGATTTTAGAAAAAAGCAAATAATAGAAAAAGATGTAGAATAAAAAATTAGTTAAAAAGATTTTTAAGAGATGATGCAATGTTCATTAGTGATGATTAGTTGTAAGACTAGGAGGTTTCTGATAAGATGAGATGTGGATAATTAATGGTAAATGTTATAAGGGTATTTTTAAAAGGATAAATGTTAACACTAAATCTTTGCTCACGCTTTATTAGATAGTAAGATATGGCAATTAATTAAAGTAATTCTAGTTCATTAAAACGAGATGAACTAGAGGCAAATTTACATGTCTTAATTCATTCCACTACAGAATGCAATTTATATCGGTGCATTTACTTATTTCCTGATGGAGTTGAGGGGTCTATTTGTTTCTGCTATGGAAGAAGGATATGCATCCGCATGGATATATGGCTGGCAGCTCTGGTTGTCTGATTTTGGTGAACTCTATCAATTATATCATGCGTGGAAACACGTCTCCAAGTTTATCTCATTTGTTGTGTAGGAATTGCATTTGAATTCTTTTGTTTTGAAAAAATTGACACAAGTCTACAGCAGCCACTGGAGAGCGACCTTTTGAGATGTAATAAGTAGGTGTCAATTCCTGACACGATCCGAAAACACGACACGAACCTAACACGAAATTAATGGGTTTGGGTTGAGGTTTCGAGAGTTTGGATCAGAATCGGGTTGAATCCGAAAAGAAAACATGTCAAATTCGGGTCAACCGGTGGTGACCTGATATGACCCGATGTGACTCGTTTACGAATTAAAACTAATTTAATAAACATAAAAATTATTTTATCTAACTAAACTAAATCATTCTTTTTTTCCAAAGGCATTAATTACTTAATCCTAAATGAATTTATTTAACTTGTGTGAAGTTAAAATTATTATATTCGGACAAATAATATATTATGTTATTTTTTACTTTTATGCTGTTTTAATTTATTTTATATTTGGTTTGGGATAAAACACTTTTATGGTGTTTAATTTATTTTAGATTTGGTTTGAAATTATTTATTTAAATTTTTATTACTTGATAATGTAATTAATTTTGTAAAAAATTGATTTTATTAGAAATTAAAGTGATAAATTAATAAATTATAATTAAGTTTCGGGTCATTTCGCGTCGGCCCGCCAACCCGCCAACCCGAAATTTTCGGGTTCGTGTCAGGTACCCTGACCCGTTTCGAATTGACGGG